TTTATTCCCATAAAAAAGCCTTGCTCTGATACCATAAAGACTATAGAATTGGAATCAAAGTCATATGATTCTTATATTGAATTGATATACACAATAGGTATTTATGGGATTTACAGGAAAAATAAGTGAGGAAAGAAATAATTAGTAAGCTAATCAATCTCTAAAAATCCTACCGCTAGTCCTATAATAATAACAAAGATCCTACAGCTAGCAAAAATGAATTGTCAATAACTACTCTAATCTAATTATAGACAACAAATATTCTGACTTTGATATTTTTCAACAATTGGTACTATGGTTGTAGGCTAGATTTTCTTTATTTTCAAATGATTTTCAAGATTCTTCTTTTGTCGTCCATTCAATTTGGAGGGGCGTTATACTTTGGGTCTCTTTTTGGATATTCTCATTGTAGTTTATTAGTTGATTAGCGTATTGGAAAATAGAGTGGGTCTTTGACTGTTTGCCTCTAATACAAAGTGCAAATACCTTGAAGATCAGCTGTGTTTGCTTAATTTGCGAGTCTTTGCTTTACTTCTGTAATCTTTAGGGATGTAGCCAGAAATGAAACGTAAGGGGGTTAGCTGACCCTCTTTAAGTTTTAAATTTTTAAATTTTTTTGACAAGTTTTACTAATTTGCCCCTAAATGAAAAGTAAATTACAAAAAAANCCTTATCTTCCACACACCTCCCTGATAAGGACCTTTCACATTCCACATAAAACTTCTCAAAGAGAGGTTAATAAAAAAAAAATTAAAAAAAAAAATAATAATAATAATAATAATAAAAAAAAAAAAAGACAGAGAGAGAGGGAGAACATTTTGTTCCAAACCAAAACTACCCAAATTCATTTACCAATAAACTCTATAATCACGGAGGAAAATCAATGAACAACAAAGTTGTAGCTCGTATGATAACACATAATTAAGGGAAAAATAAACATAAATATAAATAAAAGGCAGCATATATCAGCAGTCAAAAAGTGATCAAATCAAAAAACAACACCAGATTGCTCTGAAAAAAGCAATCAAAATTAAGTGGAAAAAATCATGCTCTATTTACAGTTAGATCATCAACTTTGAGCATCTACACCTGGTCTTCACTGTTATAGAAACAATCAACCGAAAAAATAATAATAATCCAGAAAGGAAACATAAAAAAATAGTTGAATTAAACTCATAGATCATCTAAAAACAAAGAAACATAAAAGTGAATTGATTGTTTTACTCTCTTTTGGTCCATTGAATTCCACATAGAACTCTTGCATGCTGTCATTGATCGTCTCCACCTTATAGTCACTCATCATCCTAGTTCACATCAATCAAACCCAAAAAAAATAAATAAATTTAAAAAAAAAAAAAAAAAAGACAAAAAAATCAAAATTAAACGCAAACCCGAAAATTAAAAAAATAATAAAATAAAAAAGAAATTACAGTTTCATCAAATCCATTTCTCGGCGTTTGCTTGGTGAAGACATTTTTGGGTTTTAATTCGTTGGGATTTGGTGATAAAAAGATTAATACAGCACCTTCTCCAGAAACAGAGAGAACAAGCAAAGTGGGTTCAGACATCAATGAGTGAAGCGAGGACTGTATATAGATGCCCGCAAGCCGGCTACATAAAGTTTGCAGTAATTTTCTAGTTTTACTCACAACTATAACAGCCCATTCTTGAAAATTTTCTGCTTATGCAAGTACCATCGCCTAATTATTGAATTTTTCTACAGGGTATCTCTGTAATGATTTGTGTGAATAATTTGCAAATCGAATGACGTGAAAATAAAAAAATCTATTAAAAGGGTTTTACCGGTATTCTTATTTTCATATTAAATTTGCGTCATATTTATCAATGGTAAATATAGAATGGAAGAGGAAGGTTAACAACACTTTAATAATAAAGAATTATTGGGTGAATTTTATTTTCAATTTTGTATCATATTTCGCAATTTAATATGTAATTTAAAATGGAAAGGGAAAAAGTTAAGTGTCTAACCTAAATTTAGAAAATGAAAGGGGGTATGAGAAAAATGAGATTTTTTTTTTTTTTTTTTTTTTTAAACCAGGTGTCCAAGCTCGGTTACGCCCATCTTGAATTCTCGATTAATCCCTGTAGATGACTAGCATAATATGCTACCGTCCTAATCATCTGATTAAATCTTGGGAGCCAAGAGATTCAAACCTGAGACTGTGCGTCTTAACCATACATCTCAACACTCGTCCTACCATTTGAGGAAAAATGAGATGTTGATGTTTGAAAAATGATGAGGATTTTTTAGCTATGAATATTATGCTTTTGTTCTCTTGATATGTGCATCACTAGAAGAGGAAAACCATGGTTATCAAATCGTGTATCGTATCGTGTATCGAAAACCTAATTTTTCAAATCGTGTATTGCGTATCGTATCGTATCGTATCGTATCGTATCGCAGGATACGCCTTTTTCAAAAAAATTAATAAAATAATAAATTTTTTCTAAAAATTAATATCATTCCTATGATTAATTAACAAATTTTGTGGTATTATTGACTTCAAATTATGGTATTACATAATTAAAATTAAGAATTTATATCATTTCCTCGTAACCATTTATATCTTTTCCATGATCAATGACAATATCTATAACTCTACTTATATTATTATTATCATACAAAATGGGCAACAGATCTTCTTTTTCATTTTGTCTATGCATAATGGGTAAATTTGAGCAGGTTATAGTGAACTGGGTTGGGTGACTCGGATTCGACCTGAATTTTTTTTTTGGACCTTCAGCCTAAATTAATAAAGTCGTATCGATTTATATCAATATTTTTAAAGATACAAACGGATATGTATCGTATTGTAGGATACATATTAACGTATCGAATGGTTTAGGATATACTCTCTGATACGTATCGTTGGCGACCCGTATCAAATCGTATCATAGGATACGTATAGCGTATCGTAGGATACTAATAACCATGAGGAAAATAAATTGAATAATTACAATTATAAGATAAGAAAAAACATCTTTTAAATTAGGAAATTAGGTTAAAAAATATTTTTTAAGATATAATCATTTATAAATAAAAATTACAACTTTCATTAAGGTAATTGAAGGTTATGATTGCTAATCTATAAAATTCTTGAGTTTATGAAGATATATTTGACAATTCCAATTAGACCCCACTTGTGAAGGTGCCTTACAACTAAATTATTTGATTACTTTTGAAAAATCTTGCATCATTAAACAACAATGTAAATAAATGTCAATAATTAATACTAGAAAAGTAAAATAAATGGGGGTTCCAGAATATCTCAAAAATTGGGGGAGCAACGGAGAAAATGCCTGGTAGTAACTAAAATAAAAGAGTAAAAAAATAGAAAAAAAAAAAAAAAAATTTGGTACCAGCAGCAAGATCACACATTGCTTAAGCAGATGATTATTATTATCATTATTATTAGTCTTTGTGATGAGTTGGTCGGACCTATTAACAATTGAGAAGATCTAAACTTATAATCTTTTGAGTAATATATTTAAGAATTCTTATTGTCATATCCGAATACTTAAAAATGATTACTTAATAGATTATTATCTCAAGTTCTTCTATCACTTTCTTGCCAATATTGCCGCCACCAAACCTGTTCACACCTTCATTATTTTATGATAAAGATGGCTTCTGAAATCTTTTGCTTAATCTTTTCCTCTACATAAATAACCTTTTTCTTTTCTTCGATGACTTCAATTACAAAATATTTTTACTAGTTTATCAGTTCGATAATGGAATTGGGTTAAGAATGGAATAAAATAAGAAGGGCAGGAGAATCTCCCACATCTTTAATTGTCTTGTCTTGTCTTGTCAGTTTAACCTTTTGCTTCATTGACAATATGAGTAGTCTCCTAATTCCTTGTATTGACAAGAGTAAATGGGACAGCCTTGGTTGTATTTATTATAGATTTTAAACTAACAATGCTAGTGATTAATAGAGGTGGTTGGAAACGGTAAGTGAGGTTGATAAGTAAAGGTATAAGGTTTGTAAAGAAGCTTGTAAGATGTCTAATGGTGGTCTTAAAAGTGATTTTGGACATCAGAATTGTTCAAAAAAAGCCAAAAACCATCAGCTTGAACACTGTTAATGTGAGTCAGTTTTTGCTAACATAAGCCTGTCTTTGCGAAAGAAAACGCTAGTGTGCTAAAGTGCGTCATGCTATAGTGAAAAATTAGGAATCTATCAAAATAAAGGTAACGACTTTACTTTAAGGGTAAGAATCTAGAATAAATGTAACCAGAGGTATCGACTTGAAATTTTGCTAAACCCAGGGTGGAATATTTCGTTTGCTCTATCAACAACTCCAAATGTTAGACTCATGAGTGGAATGTATCCTTTTGATATCAACCTTATAAACTGATTGTATGTAAATGAGGCAAATAGGTGAAGAAGGCTAAAAGTATTTCCATCTTTTGCCATATATTCTTTGATTGCTTCGAAAGTTATGCTGAGTTGACATCTTCATACAAGAAAACTATTCTGAATAAAAATAATGGCATATCTCAACTACTGAAAGGGATTGAAAGAAAATTATTAGAATGTCAAATTGCAAAACTAGACTACAGGGTTTGCAGCATTAGCTTTTCAGGGTTTTATATTTCTGATCGGGGGTAAGATTTTGACATACATGGAATTGCATCCAGGAAATATTGTAGGGCCAATATTAGCATCTTTTGCCACTTGAAATGTTACCTTATTTCTTTGTCCCACAACTAATAATAGTAAACTTTTATTATAAGGAAAAACAAGTTAGACTACTTCCAAATTTGGTTGTCATCAATCTTATTGACAGTAGCTGACTTAGCATCTACACTATGGTGGTAAAATTCAAGATCTTTTACAAATTAATCTTCATCCAAAACACAAAAACTTAGAGAGAGTAAAGATGATTAAAAATTTCAAAAAGGAAGGGTCATATGCACATCTAAACAGAAAAAAAAATGAAAGAACAAAAACTCTAAGAACAAGTATGTGTACCTCTACCTCCCCCATATTCCTTTATCCAAAAAGCTGTTTATCTGTATTCATTGACAGTATACAAAATGCGGCCATCGCATTGGATAACAAAAAGTTTACTTTGAAAACTTGAAAAACTTGATGGCCAGCCATGAAACATTTTAACACATTTTACCATATTTTGTTGTTTGGCATCATTAAGAACCCTGCCAGGTCTGCTTCCACCTCCACAACTTACCTTCAAAATTGCGTCACTCTTCAATGTGATTACTAAAACCATCAAATCTTCATTGTCATTAAGTGATGCTTCATTGCTAAAGAGGAAAAGAACCTTTAAACTTTAACGGGAATGTAAAGCAGCCCATGGGACTTGAGTTCCTAATTACAGTAACTCCTGACCTGCATTACACATTATTCCAAATATGTGAACTGATTATTTTTATCACATATCATTATGTCGGAGCCAGGAACCTTCACTGCTTCATGCCCAAAACTGCCACTAACAGATCCAAGTTCTGATTCATCATCATCACTGTCAATATCCCTTGGAGTCACACGATTCTGATAACTTCTGCGGCGGACAAGGAATACATTAAAGTAATAGCTTACTAAGTCTTCCCTTGTCTTCCTATGAAAGCATTTGGATGCATTGCCCCACAAGCGCTTACTCAAAGAGTGAGGATTAAATTTTATTATATCCTTAAATCTCTTTTCTTCTTCAACAGTCCATCGAACTGAAACTTCCTCACCCATCCTATCAAATTTCCAATAAAAGAAAACAGAACCCAGCTCAAGCTTCAATTTCATCCTGCTCTCAGCAATGTGAAATCTAACACATTCAACAGAACCCGGAAGCGAACAGCCACATGTATCTGATCTTCCCCTCCCAATGGGATCCCTTTCAATTAGGGTATTTTGTTCTCCATCTACCAAAGGCCATAAGCATGTACCTAGCCACTTAGGGTTACTCTCGGCAACCATGCCTGTCCACTCAGGGACACTAGCTTGAAAGAGAGGTCCAATGGCAACATGCTTTTCAAAGGGCTCATCTCCACAAGAGTCAACGGTTGTATTTGTGGCCAATGAAATAATTTTCAGAGGAGTTTTCTCCTTTGGTCCAGTCTCCAACTCTCTCTTGCGAGGACTAGTCAATTTACCCTCAGTTGCAGGACATGAATTGCAACAAGAGCATAAACGAGATTTTACTGAGGTAGGAAGCCTTTCGCTGCATCTTAACCTCTCTATAGAATAGTGACTATGATTTGCAATGTCCTCATACATGGATGGATGTATCTTTTGACTGTTCTGCAATTTAAACCATGATCTATTCACAAGATTGACAATTGATTCAACTACATATATGAACAAGCAGAGGTTTAGTAAGATCAACAACTTTTACAGTTGAGCAACGCCAAAAGTTGGCAGTATATTGGCATGCAACAAAGAGCATTACCATGTTGCTATATTAGGTAAATTCATTATTACTTTCCCATTATGTTAAGCGACTGTCTGTCACTCATAAGTCATTTAATTTCTGTTATGATGATTACATTGTATAGAATTTTATGACATGTAACTGATAATAAATAATGCATGCAAATATAATATACACATGATCTTGAATACTATTGTTTATAAGATGCCCAGCAAAATATAAAATCCTCAAGTTCATGCATCTTTCTGGTTTCAAGCATCTATTAAAGTTCTCTACATTAACTGCCTCAAGTTCAGATATCTTTATTTTCAACCTCTAGTAGAATCTGACGATAAATAAGCTATCAAGTATTCTCTCATATTTTATTGCCAATTCATTTATAGACCTTCTGCAGTTCAACCCAATAATCATGTAAGAGGGATTGAAATGGATAACATATATGATATCCTTCTTAGGTTTTAACTGAGTGATGGGTATCAGGTGGCAAGATATGCAAGGCTTCAAATTTGGTCATTCTGGTTACCTTAGAAAAGGAAATCTTATACTCTTTGCTAATTTAGCGCACACTTAATAATAATAATAATAATACTAATACTAATAATAATTAATAATAACTTCTCTATGCATGGAAAACACAGTAACTTGTAGCAAATCCAAAAAACCTTGATGAAGATAATATGAATCAAATTAGGTATACATAATCACTCTACTCTACCTGCAAGGGAGACTGTTTAATGTTCGAATCAACATGTCTTCTTTGTAGCAATGCATCTCGTGCCCTGATTGCCTGCACCCACAGCGTCTTCTCTTCATACTGCTTCCACTTAGATGGCTCAGGAATTACCCCAACTGAAGGATCATCAGGATGCTGTGCAATCTGGATTAACCAGTTCAACATTCCTGATAAAGATTCCCGCTTCCTCTTACGATAAGAAAAGTTGTTTTGACCCACAATTGAGTCATCATTAAGTAATTTTTCATCGTCATCAAGAAATTTTTCGTCATAGTCACTACAGCTTTTTCTAACAGCACTAGATCTCACATGCCTACTTTTGTTATTCCACAAATTTAATGCACTCTTCTCAATATCCATATCAACATACCTACCATTTCTCTCATATTCCACCAAAGAAAGCCTATCATCTTTGATCTTGTAAGGCCACTTCATTAGCAAATCCCTAAACTCCCTCTCTAACTCCAACGACAAAAAACCGTGATTCCCACCACAATCATGCCCTCCATTTCCCAAACTTTTACTACCAGTTCCCATTAACCATTGCTCTATCTCACCTAAATACCTACTATATATCAACTTAACCGAAGCCAAAACACAAAGATCCAACCCCAACTCCATCACCACAAAAGACCACAAACCGTTTTCGGACACCTTATGAAAACCACCTCTCTCTCTCACAACCCAAAAGAGTTCGAACAAATCTAGTGACTGCCCATCACCTAGCCTTGCTGGAACAGGCCTAATGCAACCTTTACAAGCCACCTCTTTCAAAAAAGCTGAAAGAACCTGATCAAACAGGCATTTCAGTTTGTCCTTGTATACATCAGAATCATCGAAACTATCTTTCTCATAAGTATTAACCTCAAGGTAACAACCATTATTCTCATAACCACTAATTTTCCCACAATCTGAAGCACTTAAAACTGAACATCCGGCCATGAACTTCTCTTACAATAAACAAAAAAATAAAACTAAACCCTCTCCTCCAAAAGAGTTTTTATTTTTTTACTTTTTTCTTTTTTCTTTTTTGGGTTTTGAGCGTTTATTTACAGATTGATATAAGCAAGAACAAAAGAAACAGATGGTACAAGATATACGAATTGAAATAAGAGGTAGACTTTTGAGCAGTTATGTTACAAGATATTACCTCATTTCTTCTGGAGCCAAAAGTGATCTCCTTAAGTCACAAGGGAGACAAAAGGGACAACCATGATTAACGTTTGGTATGGTCAGGGTGACAACACGGGATGAAACTTGAAAGAAAGAAAGAAAGAAACGTTGGGGGTTGTAGTGTGTTTGTGGGATCAAATTGAAAATTGGGAGATAAAAGGAGATGTAAGAGACGGGTGATTAGAATAAATTCCAGAAGTAAAAGAAATGATATTATTATTTTAATCAAATACAAGAACAAGGAATAGATTTCGTCTTTTAAAAAAGCCGAGATTTGTTCAAGGCATAATTTAAGGACAAATTTCACATTAAAAAGAAGATCATATATTTCTTTTTTCTGAAAATCAGAATTTTAGAAATTTAAGTTGTATGAATTAATTATGAAAGAGAAATATAAAAATAAATCAAAGTTTATTTATTAGGTTACACTCTTGAATCTTGATGCATTCATTTTTCTAATAATTATATTAATGAATACATCAAATAGATTTTAAACGGAGATCCGTTTACATTAAAAATTGTTTTGAAGATAAATTTCAACGTTTGTAATTAGGGCTTTATCTTATTTTTTAACCTCTCAATTTTCTTATTTAAATTTGACTCGTAATCTAGTTGGTCGTGCTTGACTTTTTGCCCCATATAATTCACAAAATTGTTATAAAAAATATCAATGTTTTAAAAACTGAACCGCTCCTTGACCCGATCAAGGGGCCAATTCCTAGGTTGATCAGTCCGACTGGTTGGACCGGTTGGTGTGATCGGTGTGCAGCAAACACATTTCTGAAAAATTCTATCAATCCCTGCAAGTTTAAATTCAGCAAACACACCCCTAAAAATTACATATCAATCCCTATAAGTTTGAAGTAAACGAACAAACATTCGTAACATTTATATTTTTTTTTTCTCTTTATCTTCATCACTTTCTTCCTTCTTCTATCACTTTCCCCTCTCTCTTCTATAACTTTCTTCTTCCTTCCTCTTTCTTTTCGTCTCCTCTTCTCTTTCTTTTTCTCCCCCTCTCTCTTCGTCCCGACTGTCCTTTGCAGGTTTCTAGCCGTTTTGAGCGACGACAACCCCAACCACCACCAGCCTTAGACTCACCAGCTACTCCCTTATAAAACCCTCAAAATTCCCAAGCCATTCCACCCATTAATTACCGACAATCACAAGCTAGGATTTCACCGTTTCTTGGACAAATTCTAACAACCAAAACTCAACCTGACACCACCTCCCAACTCACCACGATCCACCCTTTAAAACCCGCTAACCCCAACTCCTATTTGCCCATCGAATACCAGATGAGAGCCACTTCTAGCTACCGCGATTTGAATTGTTTTGGTGTGGGATTGATCGGATTTTTTATTGGTTTTGGCTTCATAGTTGCCTTGCGCTTGTTTTGGTTTGAATTGTTTTGGTGTGGGATTGATCGGATTTTCTATTTATTTTTTACTGGTTTTGGCTTCATAGTTGCCTTGTGCTTGTTTTGGTAGTATGTTGTTGCATTTTCCTAGTCGACAACACCTCCCCACTGAGGCACCGATTGAAACTCCAACCTTAGAAAAATTTAAGGATTTGAGTTAACTCGATTTTGGCAAAAAACTGATTAGACTGATGGTTCACTACAGTGACACCGGTCCAACCGCAGATCATAACGAGTTAATTACAATTCTAGTTTTCAATCCCAATTGGCCCGGCTTTACGATTCGACTGGTTAAACCGACTAGGCCGGATTTAAAAACACAACAAAATATAGAAACCTAATCAACAAATTAGCTCCACTGTCTTCTCTCTTTCCCCTACATGAAATACAATTCTATATACATTAAATAAACGTAGATAAGTCAATAACAATTTAACCTATATACTAAATTCATATTCTAATTTTTCATTTTAATTTGGCGAAGGCTGATAGGCTATAATAACCTTAAAATTAAAGTACCAGTTAAAAGGGTTGATTATAATTTCCCCTGAAATATCATTAAATTCCAGCTTTCTCCCTTGGAAGTATTTCAGATAACAATTTACCCCCTGTTGTGTTGTCAGTTTCCATTTCGGTTCTCTCACCCTTGGTCCATTGACTTAAACAGAAACCCTAATAAGAACACTAAAATTCTTACCTTCATCCATAAAATTAAACAGACACCCTAATAGAATATTGATGGCAGATATTTGAAATACCTGAGGGGAAATTGCGATAACTCTATTTAAATTGTAAAACTTGGCATTACTCACTTAAGAGCTAATTTTTGCCAGTTGTATAAATAAATCGACATATGCAAATCATTCCAGCAAGGAATATGCTCCCACACGCAATATAATGTAAAAATGTCATAACTCTAGAATTTTGTTGAAGCAGCAGCAACGCAACAATCAAATAGAAAAAAATTATACCTTGAAAAGAGAATGGATTATGTAAGTCTGTATAAGGACAAACTGTAACAAACTTTAATGTGAAAATCGAACTATTATGTACATGAACCATGTATAAAACACAAAATTCCCTTTCATTTGATCCTTCTATAATTTACACAAACTCCTACCATACTTCCTTTACACTACCAGATCCTTCATCAACAATTCGCCAAATATAAACATTGAACAACTGTAATTGCATTTCATTCACAAAATCAATTGCTGACATGATATGAAAATATTGGACTGAGAAAAGCATAAATTTGGGAAACAAGAAAAAAGGGTATACCAACTACTTTGTATGACTGACTAACTGGGATCGGACAGACGGGTAACTCGTTTCATTGTCTCCATGTGAACTGTGGCCTTACATTTCCGATAATATGCTGATCTAGGCCCCAAGGATGAATGTATAGGCAATGAAAAACGAACCTCAGAAATGGTGTCACACTGTCCATTTTAAATGAGCTATGACTCTTTATAAAACTTCCAAGTTCATTGGAAAAGAAACCACAAAGGACACTAAGCATTTTAAAAGGGTTGTGCTTCTTAAAGAGAGGGCAATAGAGAGAACAAACTGCAGCAGATAGAAAAAACTGAAAGAAAAAGAGCGCGAGCAAGAGAAAAGATAACTTTCAAGCATTTGCAACCTTTGAATTCTTAATCCCAACTTCAAATAACTTAGAACTTCAACTCCGCATGAGTTATTGGGCAGTTACTACTCATTAGGAAGGTCAAATATCATTTCCTGTATAGTAAATAACATACAAATAAATCTCATCAATGTTCATGTTAATGTATAATCTATTGTTATCCAAACAAAGATATTAAAATTTCAGACAAACCTTATCGCATACAGGACAGGTGTCACTTCTTTCCATCCATTCTAAGATGCAAGCAAGGTGAAAATGATGCTCGCATTTTGTAATAATTCTTGGATTCTCAGTATCATACTCTGCAAGGAGAGAGAAAACAACTCAATTAACATCGGGAGGCTATGAGTTGCAAGGAATGAAAGAGTTACAGAAAGGAAACCACCTTCCAGACAGGTGGGACAAACATCCTCCTCTATCACTGAAACAACAGGTTCAATTGACTTTGAAAGCTCAACTTCCAGCTCCTTCACTGATTCAGGTTCAAAATTGGCTTCAGTTTTGCTTTCTGATTCCTTTAGATCTTCACACTTCACAGGTTCTTGAGTATTGCCACCACCTGTTTCTTGAACAGGATCAGTAGTTGTTTGCACTGGTGCATCACTCTTACTGCTGCAAATTTCTTGAGTCACTGGTGGAGTTTGAGGACGCCCTAAACTCACATCGAAAGGTATCGGGGCAGGTGGTGGCCTATAAGCATTGGGGACTGATGTATCCAGATTTGTATCAACCAGGAGTCCAGTGGAGAGTGCAGAGGTGGCACCATGGTGAGATGATAAGGGCACATGCTCTTCTGATGCTCTTGGATACTGTGAAGTTCCAAAGATAGGAAAAATAAATAAACAGAACACAATGAATAGAATACATAGTAAATTTCATGCCCTTCCGTCACAGAGTAGTAGCTGCAACAGAATCTCACTACCTAATCGAAATTGAGAATAAAAGGACTAGAAACAGCCATTATTGAAGCAACAAAATCAAAAGTCAACTCAGCATTCTAACATTCACCAATTTACAATCAGATATTTGTTTTCCAGAATTGATATGAATCTTCAAACTCAGAAGCCATAATGACTGAGAAGCACAGAATTGATTAATGAGGTACAGTAAATAGATATTCAAGCACCAGACACAACACAATCAAAAGTGCCATGCACTTTACAGAATGCAGCCAAAACTTCGGTCAATTCAGTGACTAAAGAAGCATGATCTTTGTTCATGATACTAGAAAGAACCATGTGGTTGAATTTTATGAAAGAGACTACAGCAATCTTCCACTGGAATGGCTCTTGCATTGAGTCATAAGTCAAATATGTAGTATATCTAACTACATCACAACTATTAGAATAAAATAAAATATAGTATAACAAGACTTGTTATCACCACATTATTCCATTCAACTAATACCAAAAAAGAAAGGTACAAAGATTGCCCAAGCAGCATACTGATGTTCCGTTGCTCTCAAAACAAAATTATGCAGTAAAGCTAACATATGTATAATAAAGATGTTCTGCTCAATAACAATTAACAATCAAATGGAGAAGAAAGACTTCTAATGCTGAGGAAAAGATAATACTGACATAATAGTATGCTGGAGAACTAATTCTCTCAGCTCCTTTTGAAGAACAACAGCAGCAGCCTCCCATTTCCTTTTACTTATCTCTGCCCATCTAAATGTGTAGGCCTTGATGCATGGATTCCTGTTTTCAGTGAATAATACAGCCGAAATTAGGTTTGTGCAACTTAAAAAATTGATACTTTTTAAAGCCAAAGAATGACGTAGTATAGGCAGGCAGAAGAGAGAAGAGATCAAGATGGAAGGAGAAAGAGAAAAAAGATATGGAATATAGTAAGAAAAGAAGGAGAATATTAGGGAAAATTAAGAGAGAAGCCAATTTTTCATTAAACATCTAATTTGCAAAAGAGGAAACAGAAATATTCTTTAAGCAATAAATACACATCTAACTTTTTCAAGTAATACAGGACCCAAATCTCTGAATTGCTATAGTCAAAATATTTTGCAAAATGACTGATTAAACTTGGTTTTTAGTTTTGCATGAAAGACTGTCCTGCATGTAAGTGCAATTAGAAAGAAAAACCCAGAAGAACAAGTGACACTGCAACTGATATGTCAATAGAGAAAGGAAAAAAGCAACAGTAAGGTGGCAATATTGTCAAACATTCCGTGAGAAAACACAAGAAGAACAACTCCATGATGTAGTACATCCTGAAGGAGACAAAATATAAAAAGTAAGAAACCAAAAACACTTTCATGGTATACAATGATACAGTTAACAAAATTTCCATTAACAATCTCCACATAAATAACTAGCAGAATTAAGATCAAAGTACCAAAGGAAAATCAAAGCTGAAACTAGGTATTGAAACACAAAATCACGTTATTTATTGAAAAAACACAGTACGATAAAATTATTTTCAAAACAACACAACCTATTCAACTATGCAGATATAATCAACTAAACTTAAACATTCATTTGGATCCTCTGGAGAAACATAATTCGAACTTCAGCCACAACCATTTCCAATAAACCACCTATTGGGTTTAGGTCACTTTCTCAACCACAAGATTTTCTCCACAGAGACCACCAAATTTTACGAAAACAAATTCGCAAATCTTCTCATAGTCACTACGAGTAAAGCGAACAAACACCAAAAGAATCATGATAAACATAGGGGAAAAAAAAACTAATTCAGTCTTTGAATATTATTTCAATGGTAAACTCATAGCATAAACAACTATCAAAGCACGCTTTTCTCATCAACTCCATAAAAAAACCAAAATATATGTTCTATCAACCTTAATCAAACAGTTTCACCATATCTCAAAACACTAGCATAACTCAAAGCAGCAACCAACCAAAAAAGAAAAAAAGTATAAGAATCACAAACTTACTAAAGTACAGAGAGATGTAATCAGGAAAACAATCAATAAATCAATAACTCCAAACAAAAACAAAAAAATCACATCAAATGATATAATATAATTAAAAAGTAAACCCTACCAAATCATAAGCTGAGCAAAACAAATAACATCTACTTATAAAAACAATGAAGCTATTACTGCAAATCATAAAAAACGTTCCACAATCACAAAACAAAAACACTATGTGAAAAATAAAATCACATAACAGATGAAAGGCAGTGATCAATAAAGCTCTGGAATATTTTAAACTGAATAAAAAGAAAGAGAGGTTTTGATTATTACCTGAAAAATGAAAAACTCGGTGATCAGGATTCAGAATAGAATAAGAAAATATTTGTATTGAAATTGAAGTAACTGAAAAGCGAATTTTCTCAGTGGCTTTTGGTTATTCTTTCGAGAAGAGAAAGCCTAAAAAGGCTTCTCTCTTTGTGTGTGCAAGTGAGATTGTTTCGTGTGCGAGAGAGAGAACGACTTTCACTGAACAAAGAGGGCCTTCTTTCTTTTCTTTATGATTTTTCGTGGGAATTTAATTATTTTGAGTTCGCCTCCACGCTCAAGAGTACTATAATCGACGTTACTCGCCATCTTTGATCGTTGAGATACTTTGACCCGTTTGTTTACTTGAGAGACATTCAAAATGTAAAACCGTATACCGTTTACAGCCTCACTCTGCAGCCGACCTGTCGTATATGATACATGAATCTCATTTTCAAAGTCAGCACCATCTAGTTGAACAATAAATTGTTAATTTGTTATAAAGATAGGATTAAATTGTTAGTTTGACAAATTATCAGCCTTTACCCCACTAGAATCAAACTAAATTGTAGCAAATGGGATAAGCAGTTAAGTCATGATAAGAACATGAGGTTAGAAAGGTAATTGGGCTTTTATAAATTTTTAAGTTTGGTTTTATTTTGGGCCTGATCCATAAAAGACAGCCCAAAACGATTTTAGATGGATTACATTCATGTAGAGTTCACAGGTGGCACTTGTTTATACTCACTAATTGCCAACTTCTACACCGATAACCGAACCTGGATAGATGAGAAATCAGAAGACGCCACGTATATCTTCTCGGTATTTGATCATAAAATTTTGAGGTGCTAAAAGAACCCACGTGTACATCTAATAAACAAAACAATACAGCTGGTAACACATAAGATAAGACAAAACCCAAAGCTATAAAAAAGTTAAAGGGAAAATAATATGTAAAATTAAATAGAGGAAAAAGTAGGATGGTTTCTCTCACTACCATTTGAATCTGCTATGTTTTGTGATGATTGCCCTCAGCCCTCAGACAAATTAAATCCACATTGACTTTACTTAAATTTACACAGTAATCGAGATGGTTCAATCCATTCCATTTCATGCCTATTGCCCGCTGCTCAAACGCAGGCCTTTGGGCAGAGGGCCAAATAATGAAAACGGCTAGTTTAAAGGCATGGCAGGCTTTACTTCTTTTACGCAAAATCATTGTTGGGGGATAAACGGCACACCAAATTCTCGTGAAAAAAATAGATCAATACCTCTGTTAGTTAGGGGCATTCTGGTCCAGCATGTTTTGTATTGTCCTTTTGTCCACATCAGTAATGTTCACAACAAATGCCAGCCTGGCTCCTCTGTCAATCGCCATCACATAATTAAGCGGGTGGGTTGTTTGTTTGCTCGCTATCACCAGTCAAAACAGATTTCTTTGCAAGATTTAAATGAGACTAGATTTTAAGCCCATTTCCAAAATATCTCAAAGGAGAAGGAAGATTATGTACAAGATTTAACTATGCATTCTTGAACTAATAGATAGGACGACAAGGAAGGGAAGGGAACTACTTAAAATTAACAAGGGCATGCATTATCCCAGAACACTACAAAGGTTAGAATCTTGGGAAGAAATGTGGTTCATCGATGAACCGCCCTCACATATATAATTAGAACTGATCTAAAGGTTAAGAGTTAATATTATACAAAGGCAATGGACATTCATACTTCTCACTTTTTTCACTCTCTATACGTGTGTCAGTTGTCACTTGCTCTCCGTCTCTTCACTGCATTGATGACATTGATGAATTCGGAGATCACATGTACCTCGGATAATGGTGGCTGTACCGCAAATAGGATGTTAGACTTTTACAGTTTTATTTGATTACAATGAGCACACTGAGTGAGAGTGAGAGTGAGCGAGAGAGACCTGAGATGCGAAGTGCCGCTGCACCGCGTTAAGCAGTTGCTCCCTTGATGAATCAGAATTGATGTTAACCTACAGTTCAACGTCCACAGAATGAGTTGAATGAATATTATACAAAATCTATTAAAGAATTTAAAGTTTAAAAAAATTAGTTAGGGAGACCTACAAGGCGATAGTGTCTGCAGTATCTTCGCAATGAATTTGTTCCGAGTCGGGCCAAGTTCACCCTCTGATTGTGGAGAAAAAACAATTAGGAAGCACATTAAACATAAAGGTAACATCATCAAACAAAGTGCTTCACACGATCCACATGAAATAGAATCTGAAAAAGTTGCCAACTTTATGTTCTAAACAAATTTGAGCACTTTCTGCAAATAAATCCATAAACAGTTTAAATCATGTGATTATGTTTGGGGCACGAAATCAGATGCAATATTCATACTAAGGTGCTTCAAACTATATCGATATCCATCTCTAAATTTCTCACCAGTTGAGATGTGTGAATAATCGATTGTACATCTCTGTAACTACTACGATTCACCACCTTTGCAGATGCTGATGAAACCCATGGCCTAGTTTGACGAACTCTGGGCTTGCTCAGTTTGTGGAACTCAATGGTACTTGCTGCGCAAGGGGAAACATCAACAGAATTAATGGTTTATGTAAGCTTCGATAAGCTGTGAGTAAAATTTGATAGTGAGAAAATTGCATCAGTTATGAAATAGCATAACTTACAGAAATCATGGTCCTTTTCACCAATATCTGAACCACTGCTAGAGTCAAAATCATGATCTTCATCCCCTTCATTTCCAGTGGGATGTTCAAGCACACTCAAAGCATTTCTTTGCAGCTTAACTTCAACCCCATTTTTCAGAACCTTGTAGCCAAGGCAATCACAATCATCAGGAAAAACATCCAGTTTGATCAAAAGTAATTTGACTGAAAAATATTTAATAGTAGCTTGCAGAAAGGGACATCAAAGTAAAGCTCAAATTATGCCCTAGGTTTCAGTACCCTAAAAAATTGCATTCTACAAACAATTAAATTAGAAACATAATCCAGTAAAAAACTTTTGGGAAGTGTGACCAGACAAATTTGTTACAAAATAACAAGAGTTGAATGATTGTGAGGGCCTTAAGGACTTCAGATGGCTATTATAAAACATATTAAATAAAAATAAGATGTACATTAGAATATTTTTCAACAAGAACTATAATTTAACAGATTGTGGTACTAACCCAAGTACAGAACAAACTCACTAAAATCCCAGAATTATCTTCTGCCTCTATACAAGTAATTCAATCAATCGTTATAGTGCCAATACTAACAATTTATCATCTCAAGATTCACAAGATCAAGCTCATTCTGAGTGCAGTTGACAATCTTTTTATCATCTCCTAGATTTCCCAAGATCAAGCCAAAATCACATTACTTTATTCTTGGAGAGGTTTACATAATAAATATTACATCACTTGGAGAGACTTATGTGATCAACACTATTTCTTTTTATGTTATTGTATTTTTTGTGTACACATACATCCATAAAGAAAAGAAAAATAATTTTCTCCATACACAAATCAAAAATCTTAAATAAATTTTTCATGATCAGAGGTTAATGTTTTTGCAAAAATAAAAAACCTTAATGAAAGAAAGTAAAAAAAATACAAAATAACACAACAAACACCAACTCAAGCAAACATGAGAAAGAGAAGAAAACTCATTATTTCTTCTTAAACAAACTAGTAATCCCAATATTGAATAAAATAACTCAAACATAGACCCATAAAATATTAAAAGCTAGACTCCGAATAAAATAATTAGCTTAATTTAATTTCAACCATTGAACTCACTTTGTCACCCAGATAAAACATATTTAAGAAGATACGGTAAAGAGCTCTGTCCAGCCTTATAGTTTGGCAGCCAAAAGAAAACTAATAGCTCTAGTCAAAGAAAACTTATAGTTCCGTATGTTTATTTATATGTATAGCATTTTTCATACTTTTGGCATGAAAAAGCTTAATTTAGAAGGAAAGGAATCCACCGAAAACCACCGATATAGAAAACATTAAGAATAGACCTTACGTTCAAAGACTACACACTTTTAGCGTGCAATGCAACAATGCAGGAAGGTTAATTCAATAGGAAACAAAACCACCCATTATAGAAAATCACTAATAAGCCTGTGAAACCAAAACAGTAAACTAGAAAACCCAAAGATTTAAGGGCCCTGTTAACATCATTAAACTGGTAAGTAATTAATGGAAATTACCATTTAAAAATTAATATAAAATTTTCGCATCAAATTGAGAATTATCATCGACTATTTACAATTGGCACACAACAGTAAAATCCAATATTAAATAGTATATTATGTATCATAATCATTATAAATATCTTAGAACAAATTGGGATATAAAGGAAAAGCAATAACCACTACACAAAGTACAATACAATGTCAATTGGCATATAATTTATACTCTTAAATCACGACAAAGGAATAAAAAGCTAAGGGTAACAAAAGAATAATAATAATATACCAGCCAATGCCAACCACCGAGACCAACGGCCTTCTTGACCACGCCTTGCAAACCTACCAAAACAGACTTGGTCCTGTTGTTTCCAGTAACTATAACTTTGGTATGCCTGGGAAGAACAGAGAGCTCCTCATCACCGCTTTCTTCACGGAACGGCGAGAGAACTCCCCGAGAAGAGCATAACTCCGGCTCCAACATATCTCCGTTTCACTTTAATTATATAACCCTCCTTCCAATTTCGATCAAAAAAGCATAAGAAAAACCCAATTAAGAAGGAAAAAAAACCTAAATTCTTCAAACTCTGCGAAGCCCAACAATCAGTTGATTAATGGGTTTTTCATTCAATCCTCTCGAGGATAAACATTATGTCTCTCAAACTCCAACTGTAGTACCTGAATTGATTTTTTTTTTTTAGAAGTTAAAAGTCAGCAAAAAATGGAGATTCCACAATCAAACATTTAAAGAGAGCAGTTCGGAAGAATTATTGAGTCTGACACGAATATTTGGAGGAAATGTTAAATGCTATTTGCCTCGAAGAAGGAATCCAATAACTGAATCACGGACTTGTATTGATAATAATAAATGAACGAATGGCCTCGTGTCGTGTTCAAAGTTACAACGACAGCATCAAAATCAAAATGAAATAGATAAATAACTACACCACCTAAAATCATTTAACTCAAGTTCTCTCAACCAATCAAGAAATTAAAAAAAAAAAAATTTCTAAACAAAGTCGGATACTTAAACGTTGGTCACTAATCTGAATTAACAAATAATTCAAAATCAAAAACTCAAAGATTGTGTACAGCTAAAAACGTAAAATAAAGAATAATACAAAAGAAGGTAGTAGAGTGATAAAGAAGTTGAAAATAAAACCTAAAAGCCATAGAAAAACATGAATACCTGTACGGCTTAATAAAGCAGGAAGGAATGCTAGTGATGTGGTGTGAGAAAGAACCGGATTTCAGCGGGATCAGGAGAGAGAAAAACGTGGTTGATGAATGATGATGTGAAAAGAAAAAAAAAAGAATCGTTAGGAATTTGGGATGGAAATGCGCAGCTTTTGAGAGTGAGAATTAAAATAAATCAAATAAAAATAAATATAAAAAGATTGAAAAATTGAAGATTGAAAGAAAGATAAAGATAAAAGAGAGAAGACGAGCAGTAGCAGTAAGCCAGTAAGAAGAAGCAGTAGCAGGAAGAAGCAAGCACACTAAATGCTTACCAACTGCCAATAGAAACGAAACGACCTGCCATGTGCCGTACGCTCATACCTTTTTTACCGGCTTTTCCCCGTTTACCAGCTTTCACTCTCGGCTTGGCTTCGCTCACGCTCGGGAGTAAGCCAACGTTTGTCTTGAAATGTAATTTTTTTAATATTAAAAATTTTGGGTGTGCTTGGTTTATTATTTTAGATAGGATTTTGGGGATAGTATTGGATAGTTAGATAGGGTTATTATTACAAGATAAAATTTAAAAATTTATGAAAAAACCCTCTAAGTTTACTAATTTAAATAAATACCTAAATATATAATTTTTTTTGTAAAATGATAAAAACACCCCCATCTACCTATAGTGTCAGATTCTGGCCACCAATTATCGGTCAACGACGGCCAAGAGTTGGTCGTCGTTGTTGACTGTCAACGATGACCATCTAGATTTGGCCTTTTTTGGTCAGATCGATGACTTATCGGCCAGTTCTAGTGGTTTGTAGGCCGTTGTAATAGATTTTAACTATCACCGATGATGGTTGTCGGAATTTGACAACTATGAGTGAGTTAGAGTGTTTTTGTTAATTTTTAAACTTTTTTTTCTAAGGATATTTATGAAATTAATAAACTTAAAGAATTTAAAAGTAATTAAAAAATATAATAATATTTTTTAAATAATTAAATAAACAAATATTTTAAGAATAGGATTGGGAATACAGGTAAGTATAACAAATCAAATGCACCATTTACTTTTTAAGACTATTTTTGTCGTCTTTTTAGGGCAGTATTGTCATTTACGAATAATGACACGGCTCGAAGATTGGGGAGCTGAAGCGAGGCTAGACAAGCCAGTGACCGGTTACCTAAAAGGGCGAAGGAAGGGGAGAGACACGTGTCAAGGACACAGCTGTCGGATCTTATCCTAGCAAATGAATTGTAATTTCATTTCATATAAAGTTAAAGAAACAGTCTCAAACTTTAGAGACTAAGAAATAAAAAGGACAAAATTGTATAAATTTGAAATTTCGTTTGAAGTCCGCTCTTGCAGCTGGAGCGCACCCCCGCTTCCAGATTTCAGGATTCAAAGGGTGGGCCCCCTTCCCCACATGTTCCCCCTCATTTACTTTCTTTCTTTTCTCAAATTTCTCTATAAAAGAGTTTATTATCCCCTACATTTCACCCTATGCTGTACTTTTTGCGTACAATATGCGGACACGCTCTGCGTTTCAAATTTCAAATTTAAACAATGACGTTGCCTAATGGCTAAAATCTGGGAAAGCGACACTAGGGAAAACATCTTCTAATTCTGGGAAAATTACTCAAATGGCTAATTATTTCGATCTACAAAGACACAGGCTCAATAAATTATGCTGGAAATTTAGGTAGTTTTTCAAATTCTTAACATCAATGGGGCAGTCAACAATTCAAACTGCTGCTATATGGCAGTAAGGTGTGAGCAATGCATTAAATTAAAGAGTACAAGATAATGATCCGATGTTTCACATAAATCCACAGTAATTAAGGAGGGCCAGCCTTGCAATAGAATTGATCTGTTCTATCTAGGGTAGCCACTGCCACTAGCAGACAATGAGCGTTCTCTGCGTCTCTTATATGTGTCAGAATAATAGTCTCTCCTCCTCTCATATGGGGAACGCGATCTACCTCTACCATGTGGGGAAGGCGATCTACCTCTACCGTATGGGGAGCGTGATCTTCCCCGTCGTTCCCTTGGATAAGGATCTCTGTCATATCTATGAGGTGAGTAGCTACGAGAACGTCTGCGACCAGGTCCTGCACCCAACGATGAACATTATGACAAATATTATTTTGATGTTACATAGCCTGCCTATGACTGAAAAACAAAAGGAAGTAAAAGCAGAGGCTACGACGGACAAACTCCTTGCATATGCTTTTTTAGAATTATATCTTTGCAAGTCAGTAGGGATAAGCATACAACTGAACAAGTTCCAACCAACCAGGTCAATAAAACCAAGATCAAATAATTATTATGGAGGGTTTTCACATTGATTGGTAACGTAAAAAAGCTTTGTCATAGATCTCTAGGCAGCATGTGCTAGTGCTACAAACAAATATGGATCTGTTCAAACACAAATGAAATGCACAACTGGAATGAGCCAATGCAAAAGATCCATTTTAAGCATGCTCAGTTAAACATATTGGATGGCGAATGGTATTAAAGATAAAAAATCATACAAGTCACATGCAGAATAGACGTTTTATGCTTTCTATGTCTAAACTCAAGGGTAGTACAGATGATGGACCAAGCTAAGCCCTAACAATTTCCAAATGTGCAAGAGCAACTCTAGTACAAACCTCGTCTCTCTCTCAAGCCATGATACCTGCCAGGAGTAGGTGTTCTGCCACGAGACCTTTTTGCCTGCAAATTTACGTTAAATCATAAGCAAGACAATTTTACTCAGAACTATGATACATTGACCTGATGGCTATCTGGAACACTTTGCATAACAAGGATATATATAGGGAATTGCTCTCCTGGTTAGTTATAATTATGGCTGCATGTAAATTTATCATATACATCCGAGAACATGTATAGACCATTATACTTGAGGCGGAGAGAATTTCTTGCCACCCTATACTATTAATAATTAAGACAAAAGTAAAAAAACCAATTAAGTACACAGCCCCCCAAAAAAAATGAGTAATACTACATGTACAAACGACTTTTACAAAGATTTATGTACAAACTGATGTGACAGAAAATGAATGAAAGAGTGAGTACAAAAAGTCAAACTCATCATATTCACTCTTCCATTCATTTTCTAACACATCAGTTTGTATACAAATCTTATATATATATATGGTGCAATTTGTCTTTAAATATATCAGATTTTACATACACATAAATAAACTGCCATGTCAAATACTACTGATGAAGAATAGGAAAAAAGGGCATACAACCCCTGCCAAAACAGTGGAATTTGAATCGATGAGTTTCAAATGTCGATGGAGAACACATGTCGTGATGGGGTAGGTTCAACTGTTTAGACCTTAGATTGTGAATTCGATGGAGCTACACAGAAAAAACCTGCTGCCAAGATTTATCAGGCAACCTATATGAAGAACTTTCAAATAAAAGACTAAATGATTCACTCTCACCGTGCAGCACAATAAGATCCTTTGTCAGAAACCAATACCTTTTCCACAGTGACTAATCGACCTTCAAGCACTGTACGGTTCAAATACTTGATACAACGGTCTGCATCCTCAACAGTTTCCATCGTAACAAAAGCAAAACCACGAGATTCTCTGGTACGAGGATCTGTGACCAAATGGCATTCAGTAACCTGAAACAAAAACTTGCAAATGATACCATTCCATGAACAATAGCTAATAAAACAGTCAAATATCATAGAATCCATAAATCATAGTTCCCAGTTCTTTGTTTAGTCAAGTTGCACTATGGATGTCAATAAGAGCAAGGAAAAGGAACTATGTTTTTTATCATAATGGGTATGACAATGACCTTTCAAGCTTGAACAGACATGCTAAGTTTCATATTTTATGAGCAGCAATATACTCAAACAATCCCTTCACATTGCAATAAGGCCAGAGTACAAGACTTGACTCAGACATTAAAAATTTCATCAAGGTGCATTAGTATGTGACCTTTTAAGGAGACAAAATAAATTAGCACAAAATCAAAATCCAGTTGCTTCATAATAATTTCACAAACATGGATGATAGCCATTGGAGAGATATAAATCCCAAAACCGAAAAAGGAAGAGTTATCCCCATACCAGCCAAAAGATGAATTTTGCTCAAATGAAACTTGAATGTTCAAATGCACTTTTAATGGTTTCTAATGCATCAATATCATCTATACAAAAGTTTCAAAGGTAAAATCCCCAGTCAAATTGAATGTGAGTCATGTTTCAACAACACTATACATCATGGTAAGTTTATATTAATCGAGTTGCACGATACATAAACACAAGTTAACCAAGTTATACCTTCCCTTCACTGTTAAAAAACTTCTCAAGATCAGAACTTGTCACCCTTGTGGATAAGCCTGTCACATACAAGTTATTTCCTGGATTTGTTGCCTCAACAAAATCACGGCTCCTAGACCTGAAGCATTACAAAAGCCCAATTGTTACAAAACTAAAACCCTTGACCACAAAACCAGACAGAAAATGATGCATACATTTCAACACAACGCAAAAACAAAAGTAACTATCATTATACCTTGAGCGACTTCGCCTGGACCTAGATAATGACCTCGACCTCCGACCCCGAACAGGTGAAACAGAGGCACGTGGCGAAGCAGACCTGAAAGAATATCAACAAAAGACATTATAAAATTACACATTGTATTACGTACACGAACAGAATTCCAAATTTCCTTTTTTTTTTTTTTTTAAAAAAAAAATGGCTTAATTGAAGCTGACATACCTTCCTTCCCTTGAATATGACATCTATCTGTACACAAAAGTTTCGAATATCAGTTTTCCAATCTTCAAAATTATAAAAAATTCTCAGTTGTAAACAACTAACCTTAAGTACAGAGCTTTTGCCTTTCGCTTTCAACATTCAAAAGACAAATTTTATGTACTAAAAAAATTCAAAAATTTTACTGTGAAACATACCACCAACACAGATCTATTCAGAAACTTACAATTTATTTTTCAAAAAAACTAAAGTATTTCCAAGTCTAAAGCATAATTTAATACAAAAGAAAAACAAATAAACCTATATTGGTTCTTCAACTAAGATAAGAGAACAATTGACGATTACCTTGTTTGCGAATCGCCCGAGCCAGTGGGATAACCTAACTCAGTGTTGGGCACTGGGTACTCTCGACAATGATCGAGTATGTAAGGCACGTGCAAAGAATTGTGCCAGTCAGCCAGTGCATAGGCTATGCACTTTGATTTTTTAATTAATGCAGTTAATTAGCGGCCACTTTGAGAGGGTCTTTGTAAAGTATATTACAAAGTCCTTAAACAAAATCCTCACCCTTTCAACTGACAATAATGCCCTCCAAACTAATATTCGAATTAGTAAGCTGAGCTCAACGGCGCTTCGACTTAAATACAACGATATGAAAAGGTTAATATTGTCTTTACAGTTTCTTTATAGTTGACTGACAAGTTATATAAATTTTTATTTGTTTTGATGTTTGATTTTGTCAAGTTTGAGATGTGAATGGTCAACTATTAATTTGGAGAATTTTTGTGATTTTCAGGTTTTAATTGAGTAGATTGGAGCGTTGGAATGAAATTAAGATTCAAAGCTTGAAGAAATTGAGATTAGCTGACAATGTTGAAGGTCATGGCCATGCTTTGGTGGTTTACCACGGTCATAGTAGCGGAATGAGGATAACATATCGAGGATAGGAAATATCATAGCTTAGGCTATGGTGACGTATATTGGACACAGTCAGGGCTGCGTCGGACACTTTTAGGTTTTTTTTTTTTTTTTTTTCCTTGTTTGTTTAAGACTATGTTAGGTATTTAAGTGTGATTGAGATTACTTGTTTGTAGGCCAAATTTTGCATATTTTTTGAGAGAAATTATTGTGTAACAAAAGAAAAAGGTGAATTAATAACAAAATTCATCACAAAGTTTGTTTTTTTTTTTTACTTTTTCAATATGATTTATTTCTTGAATTTTACTCTTATTCCTTTTATTATGAACTAATTTTCTTAGGCTAAGATTAGGATTCGTCTATTTATGGATCTATGATCAATCTTTTGCTCTATGGTCATTGAATTATTTTTCTAATGATGAACTTATATTATATGCTTAATGCTATTAGAAACCTGATTAATTTCTGATAGAATTGTTTTCTGTGATTGAGATTGAGAGGAGATATCACATAAGTGCTCTAGTAATATAGGTCATAGATTAATTGGATATAGAGATATATGAATTGATATATGCAATAGTCATAGGCATCATTAACTTGTGCTGAAAGCTAGAGGATTTCACATAGTTTAATGCTCGTCTATTTCATTAAATCTATATAGAGATATCTAGGTTGCGAGACAGAAGTAGAATTAATATTGCTTAAGAAAGAATATTAGTTAACCTATAAAATCTTGATGTCACTTTAATTAAATAAATTCATTGACTATAGTAAATTGAGGGGTGCAAAGAAGTTATAGATGAGCTTGAAGTCTTAGCCGTTTCTCTCGTCGAATTCTTAAGTTTAGTTTTCTTACAATTGTTCGTTTCTAATATTTTAGCTTTTAATATTTTTAGTTTTAAAGATCATCCTTCTAAGTTTTAATTATCTAGATAAAATTAAAACTAATTAATATTTCAGTATTTATTTACACAATCTCTTGGTACGATAATCGTATACTTTGTTATATTATATTGTTAGCATTTGTTTCAAACGACGCAACATTGATCAGGTTGAAATCGATGGGAGTTTTGGTTAGTTTTCAGTGACTCCCGTCCCCGGTCATTTATGCTTATCTGCCAAAAACATTCCTGACATTTTTTAGATCATGGGTAAGTTCTACGTTTATTNAAATTGAGATTAGCTGACAATGTTGAAGGTCATGCCCATGTTTTGGTGGTTCACCACGGCCATGGTGATGGAATGAGGATAAAATATCGAGGACAGGAAACACCATGGCCTAGGCTGTGGTGACGTACATTTGGACACGGTCAGGATTGTGTCGAACATTTTTAGGGTTTTTTTTTTTTTAGTTTTTCTTTCCTTGTTTGTTTAAGACTCTTTTGGGTATTTAAGTGTGATTGAGATTACTTGTTTGGAGGCCAAATTTTGCATATTTTTTTAGAGAAATTATTGTGTAACAAAAGAAAAAGGAGAATCAAGAACAAAATTCATCACAAAGTTTGTTTTTCCTTTTACAATATGATTTATTTATTAAATTCTACTCTTATTCCTTATATTATGAACTAATTTTTTCAGGCTAAGATTAGGTTTCATTTATTTGATGGATCTATGATCAATCTTTTGCTTGTGATCATTGAATTATTTTTCTAATGATGAACTTATATTATATGCTTAATGTTATTAGGAATATGATCAATTTCTGATAAAATTGTTTTGTGTGATTGAGATCGAGAGGAGATATCACATAAGTGCTCCAGTAATATAGGTCACGAATTAATTGAATATAGAGATATATAAATTGATACATGCAATAGTCATAGGCATGATTAACTTATGCTGAAAGTTAGAGGATTCCATATAGCTTAATGCTCGTCTATTTCATTAAATTTATATAGAGATATCTATGTTGTGAGAAAGAATATTGGTTAACCTATGAAATCTTGATGTCACTTTAATTAAATAAATTCATTGACTATAGTAAATTGAGGAGTGCAAAGAAGTTATAGATGAGCCTGAAATCTTAGCCGTTTTCTTTCATCGAATCCTTAAGTTTAGTTTTTTTACAATTGTTCGTTTCTAATATTTTAGTTTTTAATATTTTTTGTTTTACAGATCATCATTCTAAGTTTTGATTATCTAGATAAAGTTAAAACTAATTAATATTTCAGTACTTATTTACGTAATCCCTTAGGTATGATAACCTATACTTTGTTACATTATATTACTTAAGACTAATGCATTTGTTAGCAGTTGTTTCAAACAGCGCAACATTGATCAAGTTGAAATCGGTGGGAGTTCTGGTTAGTTTTCAGTGACTCCCGTCCCCGGTCATCTATGCTTATCTGCCAAAAACATTCCTGACATTTTTTAGATCATGGGTAAGTTCTACGTTTATTTATTCTACATACCGACTCCCATCCCAATTGATGGGGAGTGCGATATGAGAAATACAGAATGGTAAGTTTAGTATTTTCCAATACCCCAATATTACTAGAATGAACAGATCTTTTGATAATCTATAACATCGTCAAACAGATACAGAAAAATAGGTTTTTGTAGTGAATTTTTTAACATGTTTCAACAAACAATCGGATCTGAAATTAACTTGTAAAAAATATGATTCATATCCGAAGAAATCTATACCAGCCAACGGCTGATGGCTTACAAGAACAAACTGTAACACTGAAATGAAAGAAGACGATAAAAATTACAATATATCACTGAATAAATGTAGGAAAAGTAAAATACATCTAGTTAACCCACTAACCAAAAAAAAAAAAAAAAAGTTTGAATCAATACAAGCAGCAGATGGCCGAAATTGGAAAGGGCAAAATGATCAGCCAAAACCTCAGTAGCCGAAGATATATTTTTACATATACTAACAAAAAAAGAAAAAAAAAAAAAAAATCTGTATTGAACCCACAACATGAAAAAAGAATCATGCCTTGAGGAGACTCTCGATGGCTTCAAAGAAAAGAGGTGCCATCTCAGGATTTGGAGTCTTGATCGCACACTTAATGCCAGGATTTCCGATAACTGTGGTTAGTTCTATCAAGAAAGGTATACCACGAGGGATCTTTGCAGAGAAGTAGAACACATCCTGGTTTGCATGCTTGCGCTTTGCTATGAAGAACATGTTCGATGCAGCCAGCCGATCTAGGGTTGCTTCAACATTGCTCACTACAATCCCTGGAAGGTCCTTCAACACCTCGTTGGAATCAGGAAGGGACCTCCATGTCTGCATAGTGAGAAGGATACACTCAAAAAGTATGAGCATCAAGTTTCAACTGCTCGAATTGTCATTGTCAATATAAATTAGTGGCAAAATTTTCTTTTCACAAAAAGTTACAAAAACGATGCAAGATGCTTCATTTATTCTTCACTCAATTTTAGCTCCTAAAACAGAGGTGCAATTACAATATTCATGAATTTCATAATTCATAAGATGATATTAAAGTTTCGACATTGCATAAGTTGATTCCCACTTTATCAAATCAGTGATCCTTGTGAAGGTCTTTTATCATGTGAAACTCCAAGAAATTCGAAATGAACAAATAAACTATTGTATGAAATTTTTACCTCAAGAAAGCTTCCTCTCTCCATTCTCCCATCCTCAGTGAAAAACACATGAAGAGAGACCTTATCGTTGAAGTACCACACTGGCTGTTGATTATTTTTCACAGCAACCTGCAAAAGTGAGCTTGGAGCACCACCAGACACATTCTGGAACAATACCATAGGCAACAATGTCCTGGCCGAAGTCCCCGGTTGCAATTGCGGAACCTGAAATACAAGAAATTAAAGCCCCATGATACATGAACCAATCTACTTTACTACTACAAATATATTAACTACCTGAAGGGGTCCAGCAGCTGCAAGACCAAACGAGTTCTTATTAAACTGAATCATGAACCCATCAAGGGGAATCTGAGTGTTGTTCTCAAACAGCATGCCGTATAATACTTGACCATCCTGACGTGTTAACTGTGCGCTGATTTGCAAACCCTGGCCAGTTGATGCGGGTAGTACAACAGGAAGAGGAGCGCTGCAATCAATGACAAAGATTCAGCTCAGAACAATAGCATGCAATGAAATTGATACAAATAGTCAAATTACTCTGCATCACAAATATGAGACAAGTAACACAGTTCGCTCATATCACACTTACGCAGGTGCAGGTTCAGGCTGGTCAACTGGCACAATCGCACTATTATCTAGGCCTATCAGATCACCTAGTAAATCAGGCACTGGAGCAGCAGGTGCAGGAGCAGCTGGAGGAGGTGCTGGCTGCCTTCCTGCAGGATATGGGGCACTACTGGAACTAGTTTGCGGTGATGTTCCTCCATCAGCAACATGAGTAGGCGTATCTGAATACCCAGTATCAATTCCATTAGGGTAGTCATCATCTTCTGTTTTTGGAGCTGTGGTCTTCACACGGGTTACAAAAGCTTCTGGCGGTTTGTGATACACAGAAGACAACGTAGCAATGTTGGCAAGAAGTTCATCAAGAAGAGAAGAATCAAGTTGGTTTGAATCATCAGTGATCACAGGCTTCTCAGCTAACACAACATCCTTAGCTGCCTGAAAGGTAAAAAATCAGGCCCGTCACATTTACAGCTGATAAACAATGGCCTTAAAATTCCATTCTAGATGCATGTAGACAAAGATCCTAAAGACCCAAAGGTTTCAACACGGTAATTGTACCAATTATAGACACCTTTCCTTCCAAAGGTTTGGCATGCTCGATCCATATTAAAAAAATACTTCAAATTTGGCACAAATAAGATGGATAAAGATATTGTTGGGTTGGATAATTTACTCTCTAGCCGTGGTTGGGAAATTCTACAATGCATGGCTGATAATGAAGACTCTGGCACAACTGATATGCACTTCTACAGTCCCCCAATAATAATAATAATAAAAAAAAAAAAAAGCAGAGAGTGCAATGCATTGATATTCAAGCATATCTGTTGCTATTAAATTTGAACTGATACAAAAAGAAACTTGACACTGATTTGAGTAAATCCACACCTCAGGATCAGTAGACAAAAGACGCCAATATATATAGGCACGATCGCGCAGATCAGGATTGTCTGTTTCCACAGTGGCATTGTTCAAAACAACCTGCAAGCATGAATTTGTATTAGTGACAATTGACTGGAATGTTTGAAGACTGTACATGTGCAAATAAAAATAGGAAATTGATTCCCCGTCTTCTAGATATAGGAGAAGAGTTACATTGGACTACTAAATCCCACCACAATGAAATCACTCCACAAATATAACAATGTAACTATTTAGATCGTACCTCAAACTAGCAGGCAACCTATGACATACAAATTGACAATTAAAAACATAAATCTCTTCATACATTACTCTACCACCAATAGCAACCAGTTACAGATATGCTATAGTTTGCCATTCAAATTTCAGTGCCAGGTGAATTGCTCCTGAAGTTTTATATAGAAATCAGAGAAACACATAAGCAGCATATAATATAACTTCCTAAGCTGGGGCAAGTATGGGCAATTGCTAGAAAAGAAAATGGAGCTAGAAAAGCAAAAAACCTAATTAATTGAGATATGAGCATGTACAACACTAAAAAGATACCTGAATCATCTGTTGTGGACCTTCAGTTGGCTTCTTAAGAAAAAGTTTGACAGTCGCTGTTAGCAATTGCAACTGGACTTGTGCAGGCTCTTCAGGGAAACTCTCTAAGAAACTTTCAAGGAGCTCATCAGCATTGTCAATTCTTTCTGCATATTCACCAATTATCCAAATCATGGAGGCCTGAGGGAAGAGATGACAAGTCGAGGTCAGACATATATGAATCAGGAATTCTATGAGATAATCGAAATTTTCACATTGCTCAGTAACTGAGGAAATGGAACTACCTTAGCCTCAGGCTCGTCTAAAGTGTCTAAGCTTTCACAAAGAGTTGCAATGATAGATTCGTATCTGTAGAAAATGATAGTGATTCAAAATTTAGTTCCAAAGGTTTTTCTATTTCTCTAGCAAATATCGTATAAGAAAGTTGTAACCTACGTGTTAGGGTATCTTCTAAAGATATCTTTAATGACTATAATAGCCTCTTGAACCACATAGTTTACTTTAATCTTGATCAACTCAAGCAGAACACTAATGCACCGTTCAGCTGCTCTCTCTAATTTTATGGCACAACGGCCAATTGCACGAACAGCCTTCCTGACAAAATCTACATCTACTTCTGTAGCATATTCTTTGAACTCCAATAGAACCTACAGAAGAGTTCACCAAGTCAGCATCACATCAAAAATACTTTCACTAAGAATTCAAGATGCAAGACAAAGTTAACAAATTACAGTAACATCTACAAAAGGAGACTAACCTGATCTATATTTCGGTCAGAAGCAAGCTTTATCATGATTTCTAATTTTTCCATCTTCACATAAATCGGATCATTGTACTTACAGAAAAATACCTATAAAACAGTAAATGTATGATAAGCATGAGCACCCGCTCACATAATTACTGAAGTGAAGCGTCATCATGAATTTATGTAAAACACTTCAGCAAGCACACAAGAATATGTCAATCACCTTAATTTCATGGGCAAGTATTGTAGGACGTCTTTGTACTATAAGGTTGATATTGCGCAATGCAACATATTGTATCTCAGGTTCCGCAGACAGTAATGTCACAAGAGGAGGAGCCATCTTTTTGCAAAGATTTCGAACTACGTCAGTACTGGTGATAAGCTCCATTTGTTGAAGGATCATCTACAAGCCAACAGAAAAAAAATAAGGGTTTACAAATGACAAAAAAAATACAGACTTGATTGATATAACCACCAACTAGGAAATAAAGATGCATACCAATCAATATAAAATATAAATGATACCTTAACAGCTGAAAGTACAACAGCACAATTAGCATGTTGCAGTCGTGGAGTAACTCTCTCCACTATATTTTCAGCTTCACGAGCATCAGCTGCTTTATATCTAGAGAGAGCATCCAATATAAAAACTTGACCCCACCTAAACAGAAAATTAATTGATATTAGAAAATAGCCAGAATGTAGTCCTTGCTAAATCTTAGAAAAAGATACAAAGGCATTGGATAATTGATAAAAAACAAATCTTTTCTAGTGTCATAAAAGTAACCAATTTCCAATTTCCTTTTAGAAAGGAATAAAAGCTTGTGAGATTGCAAATGAACATGGCCTAAAAGTACAATGTCCAAAATCAAAACATCACAGTCAATGATACCTAGTGTCCTTATTTGCAAGACCTAATACAACACCTAAAAGCATGATATCTACATGCACATGATGCCACACAGCAGAGCTCAAGTTTTTAGTACTCGATTGAGCCTATTTCTAGCCTTTGGCTGAGAGGGAGCAGCAGGGAAGGTGCTCGCCCGTGCGCAGGGTGGGGGGAGGCATGCTTACTAAGTCGCACCTTTAATCCCTTTATAAAAGTAAAGAAATATCTCCACTAGTTTACAAAAAAAAGCCAACAACCCTATCATTACAAACCACAAAATACAGCAGAAAACAATCTGGGGTTTGACATTTGATGCCAAAAAAAGTGAAAAGGTTTAATCGATATCAACTATATTCAAAGAATCAAAAGATAGCTTATAATGAACAACCATATACTATACACACATTTCTGTTCATATTAATTTGCTCGTCAAACCTACTTTGAGAAAAACGAAAAAAAAAAAAAAAAAAAAAGTAATTTTCAAATATAAGCTTACTCTGTGCATTCGTTTAGAGCAGTAAGGAGCTTCGAGAGTGTGTGACTACTGATCTCAAAGATGGGTCCGCTACTATTCTCTTGAATCTCCGCAAGAGCTGCCACAGCATTTGCTACAACCATTGGATTGTTGTCAGATATCAAATCCTTGAGAGATTCAAGAAAACCCCTATCCTCAACTAACTCAGCATTTATGTCATAGAGTTTAGCAACACATATAGCTGCTGTTTTACGAACATATGGATCATCATCCTGTCACAATACCATTAAATAACAAGTTAGGGGAAAAAAAAAGGTGACAAACTGCAAGTAAAATAATTAGCTAATTTGTTGAAGAAGCAGAGCAAACACATTATGAGATATTAAAACTAAAAATTAGTTCCAGCAGCAAGATGCAAATATCCAAGACTTAAAGTTCCACCTTAAGACACCTCTGAAGGGGGTCACAAAGATATTCTGTGATTTTATCAACACGAATACATCCCATTGTACGCACAGCCAAAGCTCGAATCAAAGGATTCGGGTCCTGTGAGTCCTGCATCCCATAAAACAAAAGTTCATAAGAGAAGCATAAAAGCATAAGTACAACAATGTTAAACACATAATGTTATATATTTTGAACTCATAGACTGTGTGCAAGAAACATGAAATTATTTATAATAAAAGCAATTCAAGCTATTGATTTCAATACTACCAATAATATAGAGTACATGACAAAAAAATAGCATGTATTATGCGATGCAAGAAAATGTAGCATGCTCATATATGCAGAACTCAGCCAAGGATGTTTTATTTACTACTTTCTATCTTCAGGGCTGGGGAGGGTAGTGCCAAATCCAAAAAGAAATAAATTATGTCATACAACAGCAGGTTCACAGTAATTCTTACCTTCACAAATGTGTTTACTGCCAAAATAGCTAGGTCTGGCTGGGATTTAGCATAGTTGATAAGATATAGGTAAACAAGCTTCTTGAGCTCTAAATTTTCTGTTTGCATGCAATTCACTACATCCGTGAACAATGATGAAACATCTTTCCCAACAGTCATAGCAGCAATAACCTTCTTCACAGCATCCTTTCTCTTATCCTGCATAACATAGAAAAAAGAAAAGCATGCCTTCACATTCTGATGAAGTACAAATGGCAGGAGAATTCTGAATAAAAAATTACAATATAACCAGGTATACAGAAGAAATTGTTAAGAAACCATCAAACCGGCTTATAAAACCAAAAAGCTATCAAGAGTGAAATAAAACCCAATTAAACTCCATATGGGCAATAGCAAGAAGCATAAATCCTCATAGAAGCTCCCAACTAAGATCTAATACTAATTCAGGCATTGTAGATCTACTACTTTCTTATGCACCATCTAATAACTCCAAATAAACTGGGAATATAAATGTAAACACGAGATCTGTTCAAATCATAGTAGCACTCGAAAAGATTCATTTTTCCTTTAACAAGTCCAATACCGATACTACAAAACTCACAATAGAACAGAAAATTTAAACGCATCGTTATCAAAAATAGATCTGCCATCTACAGTTTCTTAAAAAGCTGAACACAACCACGAAAATCAAAGTCCAAATAAGAGATCAAATTAAATAAATATAAGAAAAGAAACATAATAATTAAAATAAATTATTAAAAAAGTGATGGTACCTTGTACTGCGAATTTAACTCTTCTTTCAGTTCAGGGATTTCTCCCTTTTTCGTTGTGGAAAAATACTTTGAATCATGACCGCTCATCTTTGCCCCTCGCCTCTCTGAGGTATCTTCTTTCAGTCTTCGACAACGTCCAGTTCAACGATGTTCAGTCTTCAAAATGAACGAGAGTATCCAAGATGATCTTAAAATGGCGAAGGGCCGAGATAAAAATTGGTTCAGCAAGTATTTTGGGGTCGGCTTTGTTGTTGGGCTCAGCCAGAGATTGAGCCCAATACAGCCCATTTATGAGAGTTCGTCCATCCAACTTTCCCGCCCTCCTTAACGAACTTTGGAATCTGTTATAATATAAACATCTCCCGAGAAATTCGTCAACGATCTTCTATGGTTTCTGTTCCCTTCAAAGTATCCGAATTATGTTTATAGCAATTCACATGAAGGTAAGGTAAAAACAATTTTAAAATCTTCAAAATAAAATATGTAAGGGTATAATTGGTATAACAAGTGTTATAATCGAAGTACATTGTGTGCCCATCAAAAAAAAAATTCTTTTTGAAACTAGGGTGTTTAAACCAGTTTGCACATACATCAACTAATCTTCTGTTTAATAAGTCGGATGTGGTAAATAACCACTTTGTATGGCTCAAATACAAAACCTCTTGGTAACTCACAGTCTTATCATTTGACCACAAGCTAAGTAGTTGCCATAAAAAGATGTTGCTTCCTAACAGTTGAAAATTAACCAACACCCCAGTGGTCTTTCGAGTTCGAGCACCTACGGTTGCTAATGGTTACATTGTTATATTTGTGGAGTGATTTCATTGTGGTGGGATGTAGTAGTCAAATGTAACTCTTCTCCTATATCTAGAAGATGAGGAATCAATTTCCTATTTTCATTTGCACATGTACAGTCTTCAAACATTCCAGTCAATTGTCACTAATACAAATTCATGCTCGCAGGTTGTTTTGAACAATGCCATTGTGGAAACAGACAATTCTGATCTGCGCCATCGCGCCTATATATATTATCGTCTTTTGTCTACTGATCCTGAGGTGTGGATTTACTCAAATCAATGTCAAGTTTCTTTTTGTATCGGTTCAAATTCAATAGCAACAGTGCAACAGATATCCTTGAATATGAACGCAGTCCTTTCTCTGCCTTTTATTTTATTTTTTATTATTATTATTATTTTAGGAAGGACTGTAGAAGTGCATATCAGTTGTGCCAGAGTCTTCATTATCAGCCATGCATTGTAGAATTTCCCAACCACCTCTAGAGAAAAAATTATCCAACCCAACAATATCTTTATCCATCTATTTGTGCCAAATTTGAAGTATTTTTTTAACACGGATCTAGTCATGCCAAACCATTGGAAGGAAAGGTGTCTATAATTGGTACAATTACCGTGTTGAAACCTTTGGGTCTTTAGGATTTTTGTTTGCGTGCATCTAGAATGGAATTTTAAGGCCATTGTTTATCAGCTGTAAATGTGACGGGCCTTATTTTTTACCTCTCGGGCAACTAAGGATGTTGTGTTATCTAAGAAGCCTGTGATCACTGATGATTCAAACCAACTTGATTCTTCTCTTCTTGATGAACTTCTTGCCGACATTGCTACGCTGTCTTCTGTGTATCTCAAGCCGCCATAAGCTTTTGTAACCCATGTGAAGACCACAGCTCCAAAAACAGAAGATGATGACTACCCTAATGGAATTGATACTGGGTATTCAGATACGCCTACTCATGTTGCCGATGGAGGAACATCACTGCACACTTGTTCCAGTAGTGCCCCATATCTTGCAGGAAGGCAGCCAACACCTCCTCCAGTTGCTCCTGCACCTGCTGCTCCAGTGCCTGATTTACTAGGTGATCTGATAGGCCTAGATAATAGTGCAATTGTCCCAGTTGACCAGCTTGAACCTGCACCTGTGTAAGTGTGATATAGCGAACTGTGTTACTTGTCTTATATTTGTGATGCAAAGTAATTTGACTATTTGTATCATTTTCATTGCATGCTATTGTTCTGAGCTGAATCTTTGTCCTTGATTGCAGCGCTTCTCTTCCTGTTGTACTACCCGCATCAACTGGCCAGGGTTTGCAAATCAGCGCACAGTTAACACGTCAGGATGGTCAACTATTATACAACATGCTGTTTGAGAACAACACTCAGATTCCCCTTAATGGGTTCATGATTCAGTTTAATAAGAATACATTTGGTCTTGCAACTGTTGGACCCCTTCAGGTAGTTAATACATTTGTGGTATAAAGTAGATTGGTTCATGTATCATGGGGCTTTAATTTCTTGTATTTCAGGTTCCGTAATCGCAACCGGGGACTTCGGCCAAGACGTTGTTTCCTATGGTATTGTTCCAGAGTATGTCTGCTGGTGCTCCAAGCTCCTTTCTGCGGGTTGCTATGAAAAATAATCAACAGCCAGTGTGGTACTTCAACGATAAGATCTCTGTTCATGTGTTTTTCAATGAGGATGGGAGAATGGAAAAGAGGAAGCTTTCCTGGTCCGGCCCACTACATAGCAGTAAAAAAAGTGTTGAGATATCTTCGAGGGACAAAAGATCATATGCATGTCTATTAGCATGTTGATTACTTAGAGTTAATTAGATATTTAGATTCACATTATGCTGGATGTCAAGATACAAGAAAGTCTATCTCAGGCTTCATATTTTTCTTTGTTGGAGGAAGAGTTTCTTGACGTAATGTAAAACAGCCGAAGACAACTTCTTCCACAATGGAAGCTGAAGTAGTAGCATGTTATGAGTTTCTCAGACATTGTGATTGAGACAGTTTATCACAGATTTAAATGTAGTCTCATCAATAGAAATACCAATAAAAATATTTTGTAATAACACAACAACTATGAGCTTCTCTAACAATACATGTTCAGTAAGTCGGTGTCGTCACATCGAAATAAAGTATTTTGTTGTTAAAGAAGATGTTCGAGATTGTCATGTGTCGATTGAACATATTGGCACAAATGATATAATCGCTGATCCCTTCACCAAAGGTCTTCCACCCAAGGTGTTTGTGGCTCATGTAAGCCATATGGGTTTATATAAATTATTGTGTTAATAATTTTTTCTAAGACTTTGCAAATGTAAACTTGACGATTTCAATTGAAGTTTTCAGTTATTGATTTTGTGTCTACATATAGTTTTGATAATGACAGATGTCTATTGTATTTAAGGCAATAAAGTTGACCCAAGAATAAATTATTGAATTTTATTCTATAAAGTCTAGTTGTCACTAATCATAAAACGAACAATTCATATAATACATGGAAGAGGATGTTCTGGTAATAAGGCATATACTACCATGATTTATGACTTATACTTTTATCATGGATGTGACGACCCATTAAGAGTGAACTAAAGTTCTATGTTTGACTATACATCAAAGTCAATTCACTCTTTTATATCACATGGCAAATAATGGCCCAAGTGAGAGAATGTACGTGGCCCATTCCAGTTGTTACTTAGTTATGGGCAGATACAATCCACTTTCATTAGGAAGTGGATGTAACTTGAGGCAACCACCTCAGTAGCCACTTGGGGTCCTGGGCGATGATTATATAATTAGAGATTGGTTTCCCTAATTGTTACTCTAAGAAAAACACCTAGAAATCCTAAAGTGAATTAAGTCAATTAAGCCATTTGTGGAAGCGAACAACAATGGCAAGAATTACACTAGGCCCCAACGGAGGTATGTAAATAATTATTCCGCATTTTACAGAATAATAATGATGATGATCTGTAAATTTAGTCTTTAATCTTATAACAAATCCTTCTCACAAACCCGACGTAACAGCTCATAATTGATTAACTCGCAAACGGGTTCTGCTTGCCAACAATGGATGCCGCCTAACCAAATACGAGCTACCACGTTGAATTTGTAAGAGAAAGTTAGTGAGAAATGTTTGTCAACCTACCTTTATAGGACTTGAAAAGATTCATTTTTTTCTTTAGCAAGTCCAATACCAATACTATAAAACTCACACTCAAACAAAAAATTAAAACGCATCTCCATCAAAAATAGATCTGCCATTTACAGTTTCTTAAAAAGCAAAACACAACCACGAAAATCAAAGTCTAAGGAATTAATATATACAAAAATAATTAACGAAATAAATTAATTGTTAAAAATTAATAAAAAGAACAAGAAAAAAAAAAATTCTTTTTTGTGCAATATTTGATACAATGGGTTGGGGATGTAACTATAAAATAGTGTGAAAGTTACACCAATTTGGTGTTTTATTATCTCCGGGTTGGAGATGTAACAATAAAATAGCGTGAAAGTTACACCAATTTGGTGTTTTATTATTGGAGATGGTCTAAGACATCTAAATGGATGACTTCACAATGCCTTATTATAGATAAATAAGCTAGATTTAAAAAAGCAGCAATGTATATTCATACTTCTCACTTTTTCACTCCCTATATGTGTCAGTTGTCTCTGTCTTCACAGCATCGATGAATTCGGAGATCACATGTACCTCGGATAATGGTGGCTGTACCCAAATAGGATGTTAGATTTTTACAGTTTTATTTGATTACAATGAGCACAAAAGTGAGAGTGAGAGTGAGACCTGTGATGCAAAGTGGCGCTGCGCCGCATCAAGCAGTTGCTCCCCCGATGAATCAGAGTTGATGTTAACCTACAGTTCAACGTCCAGAGAATGAGATGAAGGAATATTATAAAAATCTATTAAAGAATGTAAAGTTTATAAAGTTAGTGAGGCCTACAAGGCCATAGTGTCTGCAGTATCTTCGCAATGAATCTGTTCCGAGTCAGGCCAAGTTCACCCCCTGATTATGTAGACAAAACAATTAGGAAGCACATTAAACAAATAGGTAACATATATCATCAATCTCAAAAAGTTGTCAACTTTATGTTCAAAACAAATTTAAGCACTATTTGCAAATAAATCCATAAACAGTTTAAATCATGTGATTGTATTTGGGGCATGAAATGAGATGCAATATTCATACTAAGGTGCTACAAATTTCTCACCAGTTGAGACGTGTGAATAATCAATTGTACATCTCTGTAACTACTACGATTCACCACCTTCCCTGTGGGATGTTCAACCACACTCAAAGCATTTCTTTGCAGTGATCATAAGTAATTTGACTAAAAATATTTAATAGTGAGCTTGAAGAAAGGGCATTCAAGCAAAGCTCAAATTATGCCCGAGGCTTCAGTACCCTAAAAAAACTGCATTCTAGAAACGATTAAAATAAAAACATAATCCAGTGAAAATCTTTTGAGAAGTGTGACCAGACATATTTGTTACAAAATAACAAGAGTTGAATGATTGTAAGGGCCTCAAGAAGGACTTTAGATGGCTGTAATCAAACATATTAAATAATGCTCCAAATCTGGCTCAATACCAGCAAAAACATCTCTGAACAGGGTTCTAGCACCATGCCAAATGTGTCCAAAGAAGAAGAGCAGAGCAAACGAAGCATGTCCGAAAAGTAAACCAATCCCTTGGACTGCTACGAAAATAAGATGTACAATAGAATATTTTGCAAGAAGAACTATAATTTAACAGATTAAATTACTACTCACTAAAATCCCAGAATTATCTTCTGCCTCTATACAAGTAATTCAATCAATCGTTATAGTAGCAATGCTAACAATTTATCATCTCAAGATTCACAAGAGCAAGCTCATGTTGAGTGCAGTTGACAATCTTTCTATCATCTCCTAGATTTCCCAAGATCAAGCCACAATCACATTGCTTGATTCTTTGAGAGGTTTACATAATTAATATTACATCACTTGGAGAGACTAATGTGATCAACAATATTTCTTTTTATGTTATTGTATTTATTGTATAGACATACATCCATAAAGAAATGAAGAACAATTTTCTCCATACACAAATTAAAAACCTTACATAAAATTTCATGACCAGAGGTTAATGTTTTTGCAAAAATTAAAAAAACACTTAATGAAAGAAAGTAAAAAAAAAAAAAAATACAAAATAACACAAAAGATACCGACTCGAGCAAACATGAGAAACAGAAGCAAAACTAATACTAGCTCATTATTTCTTCTTAAACAAATTAGTAATCCCAATATTGAATCAAATAACTCAAACATAGACCCATAAAATACAAAAAGCTAGACTCCAACTAAAATAATTAGCTTAATTTAATTTCTACCATTGAACTTACTTTGTCACCCATATAAACCATTATTAAGAAGTTATGGTAAAGAGCTTTGTCCAGCCTTATACTTTGGCAGCCAAAAGAAAACTAATAGCTCTAGTCAAAGACAAAATATAATTCTGTATATAATTTATTCTCATAAATCACGAGTTCACGACAAAGGAATAAAAAGCTAAGGGTAACAAAAGAATAATAATAATATACTAGCCAATGCCAACCACCGAGACCAACGGCCTTATTGACTACACCTTGCAGGCCCACCAAAACAGATTTAGTCATTGTTATAAATAGGAAATAAACAGTTATACCTTCACCTTCTTCGGCCGACCCACGGGCCTTCCAGTACGGCTCACAACCTTCTTTGCCGGTCGGACACGCTGCTTCACATCACCACCAGCAGCCAGAGTTGTGCCAATCTTCCTCGGCCACCCTCTAGGCTTCGCTACATGGGCTATTGCCACAGGCACATTTGTATCACTTGCAACATAAGTAACCGCCACAGGATTAAGCTGCTCTTGGGCTTGAACTTTAGGTGGACGGGCCAGGCCCAACTTACCCGTCACACTCTCTGGCTTTTTTGGACGTCCTGGGCCCCTCTTCTTCGCCTTTGGTGGTCTACCCCTCCCCTTGTTAGGCCCACATGTAGCAACTATCACCATGTCACCCTTCTTCGGACGACCCAGACCTCATTTCGGCTGATCAACTAGCCCAAGGGAAGCCGAAACACTATCACTGCTAGTAGCCTTGGGCGGACGGCCCCTTCCTTAGCCTGTTTTAGGCCCATGGGCTGAACTAATACCAGTGGCATTTTCGGGAGTAAAATTATTACTTTCCGGCGGTACAATGAAAGCAACGTCAGGAGATCTAGCAAGCTTGTATGATTTCTTGACCATAACAAGCTGACCAATGTTCTTCAACCGCTTGAGGTGGTGAGACAACAAGGCCGGGTGATTCAGCGGAAGAGAATTCACGTAAACTTTCTCTATGTACTTCGCGATAGCTCGCATGCTCGACCCATCCTTCTCTTTCAATGCAGTGATGGCCGAGCTTATCATCTGAAACAAAAACAAGAAGAAAAACCGTAAAAGATTAGTGAGTTAAAAACACTAAAATTGGGTTGGCTGTGAAAAAATTTAGGTTAGTTTCGAATATTACAACATTACCTCAGTATAAGGAGGGTGACTGTTGTTATGGTTGAGAAAGGGAGGGGTGGGGTTGGCGATGATGGCAGAGGTGGGTGGAGGGGGAGGAGGAGCGTGGTGGTGCTGGTGGGGGAGGGAGGGAGGAATAGGCCGTGGGGGTTGAGGATGAACAAAGGAGGAAGCGTCCATGGAGATGAAAGGAGTGGCTGCTGACTTGGCCAAACTCAGCTTTGTGCAGTGGCTGCTATCAACAATGAAAAGAGTAATGGAACGGCCCGAGTACTTGAGTCTTAAAAGTAAGTGAAAGTTCCCACACTTGACAATGACACGTGCTAATATAGCTTAGACATTCTAGAAATGCCACCCCATGCAGTCGAATTAGAGTTTCTAAAAACGGCATTTAAACGACACTTTATCCAAACCTATATATAAAAGTAAGGGATTAATAGATTTTTTATTTTTTAAATATAAATTAAAAATTTAATTTGACTCTCCCGCTCTATCTAAAAAGTAAAATTTTACTTGCTATTCTAATATTATTTAATAAATTACAAGTTTCTATATATTTTATTATTAATTCTCTTTTCTATTAAATCTCTTTCTTATATATTAAATCAAATTTAAAAAGTCCATAAAATTTGAATATAAATTTTATTTTTTATATTTAAAAATGAGTAAAGATATTTTTTATTTACCTAAAATATGCTTTTTAAAGAGTGTCATTGAAAATGGTACTGATGTGCAGTGTGATATAGAATGTGATGTGATTTCCCATTTCGCACTCCACGTGATTTGGAGTCTTGATCGCACACTTGGGGCCAGGAATTCTGACAACTGTGGTTAGTTCTATCAAGAAGGTTATACCACGAGGGATCTTTGCAGAGAAGTAGAACGCATCCTGGTTTGCATGCTTGCGCTTTGCTATGAAGAACATGTTCGATGCAGCCAGCCGATCTAGGGTTGCTTCAACATTGCTCACTACAATCCCTGGAAGGTCCTTCAACACCTCGTTGGAATCAGGAAGGGACCTCCATGTCTGCATAGTGAGAAGGATACACTCAAAAAGTATGAGCATCAAGTTTCAACTGCTCGAATTGTCATTGTCAATTTAAATTAGTGGCAAAATTTTCTTTTCACAAAAAGTTACAAAAACTATGCAAGATGCTTCATTTATTCTTCACTCAATTTTAGCTCCTAAAACAGAGGTGCAATTACAATATTCATGAATTTCATAATTCATAAGATGATATTAAAGTTTCGACATTGCATAAGTTGATTCCCACTTTATCAAATCAGTGATCCTTGTGAAGGTTTATTATCATGTGAAGCTCCAACAAATTCTAAATGAACAAATAAACTATTGTTCGAATGTTTTACCTCAAGAAAGCTTGCTCTCTCCATTCGCCCATCCTCAGTGAAAAACACATGAACAGAGATCTTATCGTTGAAGTACCACACTTCACTGGTTGTTGATTATTTTTCACAGCAACCTGCAAAAGTGAGCTTGGAGCACCACCAGACATATTCTGGAATAATACCATAGGCAAAAATGTCCTGGCCGAAGTCCCCGGTTGCAATTGCGGAACCTGAAATACAAGAAATTAAAGCCCCATGATACATGAACCAATCTACTTTAATACCACAAATGTATTAACTACCTAAAGGGGTCTAGCAACTACAAGACCAAATGTGTTCTTATTTAACTAAATCACGAACCCATCAAGGGGAATGCGAGTGTTGTTCTCAAACAGCATGTTGTATAATACTTGACCATCCTGATGTGATAACTGTGCGCTGATTTGCAAACCCTGGCCAGTTGATGCAGGAAGTAGAACAAGAAGAGGAGCGCTACAATCAAGGACAAAGATTCAGCTTAGAACAATAGCATGCAATGAAAATGATACAAATAGTCAAATTACTCTGCATCACAAATAAAAGACAAGTAACACAATTCGCTCATATCACACTTACACAAGTGCAGGTTTAGGCTGGTCAACTGGAACAATCGCACGATTATCTAGGCCTCTCAGATCACTTAATAAATCAGGCACTGGAGCAGCAGGTGCAGGAGCAGCTGGAGGAGGTGCTGGTTGCCTTCCTGCAGGATATGGGGCACTTCTGGAACTAGTTTGCGGTGATGCTCCTCCATCGACAACATGAGTAGGCGTATCTGAATACCCAGCATCAGTACCATTAGGGTAGTCATCATCTTCTGTTTTTGGAGCTGTGCTCTTCAACGGCTTACAAAAGCTTCTGGCGGTTTGTGATACACAGAAGACAACGTAGCAATGTTGGCAAGAAGTTCATCAAGAAGAGAAGAATCAAGTTGGTTTGAATCATCAGTGATCACAGGCTTCTCAGCTAACACAACATCCTTAGCTGCCTGAGAAGTAAAAAATCAGGCTCGTCACATTTACAGCTGATAAACAATGGCCTTAAAATTCCATTCTAGATGCATATATGCAAACAAAGATCCTAAAGACCCAAAGGTTTCAACACGGTAATTGTACCAATTATAGACACCTTTCCTCCAAGGGTTTGGCATGACTAGATCCGTGTGAAAAAAACACTTCAAAATTTGACACAAATAAGATGGATAAAGATATTGTTGGGTTGGATAATTTACTCTCTAGAGGTTGTTGGGAAATTCTACAATGCATGGCTGATAATGAAGACTGGCACAACTGATATGCACTTTTACAGTCCTCCCCAAATTAATAATAATAAAAAATAGAATAAAAGGCAGAGAGTGTAATGCCAATGCGTTCATATTCAAGCATATCTGGTGCTATTGAATTTGAACCGATACAAAAAGAAACTTGACACTGATTTGAGTAAATCCACACCTAGGATCAGTTGACAAAAGACGCCGATACGTATAGCAACTGAGTCGAACTCGATACCTCAAACTCGATCAGGCTTGAACTCGAACTCGTTATCTTAGCAACCGAGTTAAGTTCGAGTAAGTTTCTACTATGATAACGTTAACAATACGGTAAGCTTTTACCCTCTATTTTCGTTTTGGTTGGCTTTGTATCAACAACTACACAAGTTCCGAAGGGGCAATAAGTTTGGGTTGGTTAGTGCCTTGTAAGGATATTATCGTCTCTTCATATTGTTTAAAATTTTATATATTTGCCTATAAATAACACTTCCCCCTGAAACTCATAAATCTTTCTCGAACTCCTCAAAAACTCAAATGGAATCCACGGAGAAGAAATCTAATCACCACAAACAAGATATTGGACATGGTATCTTCGATCTTAAATTTCAACTTCATCTCAGAATTTCACTTAATCAATAATGTTTGTTGATGTTTCTGATTTTATATATTTCTTCAGGTGATAAAGGGTCGACCTAGCAAGAAAACTAAATTTACTAATAAGGTTCTTATTTCTTCTCATTTTACAATTTTCTCAATTTTCTTATGGATATCTTACAGTTCAGTTCTTAAAGAATCAAGCAATTTGTGCAGGAGGATCCCTCCAAATTTGTTGAAGACGATGACGCCTATTACAATGAAGATGGGGATGATCTTCGCGATGGTAATTTTTTTTTTTATATATTTATTATTATTTTTAATATTTTGAGATTTCTTTGTTTGGCATAATTAATTGGTGAAATGTTAAAAATTAAAGGTGAGAAAGAAGAGAAAAAACGTGAATTTAGTAAATTAGAACTAAAACCCGATCACCCTAATCGGCCACTGTGGGCTTGTGCTGATGGACGAATATTTCTTGAAACATTCTCTCCTTTATACAAACAAGCTTACGATTTTCTCATCGCAATAGCTGAGCCTGTTTGCAGGTACCATTTTTATATTTTTAATTTTTTTTTTACATTTGGTGTAGTTTAGTAAGTTTTGTTATGTAATTAATAATTTTGATTTGTAATATTGTAGGCCTGAATCTATGCACGAGTACAATTTGACTCCACATTCACTGTATGCGGCAGTGTCTGTGGGACTCGAGACTGAGACTATCATTTTTTTTTAACAACCCCACCCGATACTACAAAACTCACACTCGAACAAAAAATTTAAACGCATCGCCATCAAAAATAGATCTGCCATCTACAGTTTCTTAAAAAGCAGAAGTGCAGAACACAACCACGAAAATCAAAGTCCAACTAAGAGATCAAATTAAATAAAAGAGTGATGGTACCTTGTACTGCGAATTTAACTCTTCTTTCAGTTCAAGGATTTCTCCCTTTTTTGTTGTGGAAAAATACTTTGAATCATGACCGCTCATCTTTGCTCCTCGCTTCTCTGAGGTATCTTCTTTCAGTCTTCGACAACGTCCAGGTCAACGATGTTCAGTCTTCAACGATGAACATCTAAAATGATCTCTAAATGGTGAGTGGCCGAGATAAAAATTGGTTCAGCAAGTATATTTGGGGTCGCGTTTGTTGTTGGGCTTAGCCCGAGATTGAGCCCAATACAGCCCATTCTTAACGAACTTTGAAATCTGTAATCATATAAACATCTCCCGAGAAATTCCATAACGATCTTCTATGGTTTGTTTTCTCTTCAAGCTATCCAAATTATGTTTATAGCAATTCACATGAAGATAAGGTAAAAACAATTTTAAAATCTTCGTAATAAAATATGTAAAGGTACAATTGGTATAACTAGTGTTATAATTGAAGTACATTGTGTCACTATCAAAAGATTTTTTATTTATTTATTATTATTATTATTATTATTTAACCAATAGAGGTGTTCAAAAAAATATAAAAACCGAACCGAACCGATTTTTTGGTTATCGTTAGTTTCGATTCAAAGAAATAAAAAATAGATTTTTCGGTTTGGTATCGGTTTACAAGAATATGTGAACGGTTAATTGAAACCGGTTTATTATACAAATATTAAATTAAAATATAAAATAAAAAAAATATGATTTATTATAAAAACATTAAATTAAAAAATATATAAAATATTAAATATGAAATTAAAAACGGTTCAAAACTGGTTTTCCCTTTAACTTGTTTAGTTTCAGTTCAAGAAAATTCCTGAGCTGAAAAATCAGTTCGGTTCACAAAATCGATTAACCAGTTTTGAACACCCCTAGTAATCGGGATATCCGGGCTAGCTTGCACATACCTCAACTAATCCCTGGCTTGGACACCCTTCAATTAATCCCTAGCCTAATGGGTTAGGTAAGTCACAAATGTGGTAGATAACGACTTTGTGTGACTTGAATACAAGACCTTTGGGCAATAATGCTACAGACACTGGGATTTTTGCACCGAAATATTGTACCGGCCTACATGTAACACGCCTCTGATTTTTTTAACAATTTTTTTCGAGTGAACGGCCGTCCATCAAATTTGGATGGCCGTTCACTCACATGGACGCCCGTCCATATTATATGGACGGGGGTCCATATACCAGGGATGGGCGTCCTCATTTAATGGACGCCCGTCCATAAGTAAAATGAAATAATTTTTTTTTTATAAAAATTAGGGACGGCTGTTCATATGTTATGGACGGCCGTCCCTTAATTTTAGACAGGCGTCCGCAAATAAGGGACGCCCATCCTTAACCAAAATATAAAAAAAAAAAAAAAAAAAAAATTTGGGGACGGCTGTCCCTTACATTTGGACAGGCGTCCATACTTTTAAAAAAAAAAAAAACACTTTCTTCGCTCTTCTTCTTCTTCTTCTTCTTCTTCGCTCCACTCCATCCCTGTAACACCTCAAATCCATTTTGCAGCAATCCTAATCCTCCCACTGAATTACAACATAAACAAAACAAAAATACAGATGAAACAGACTACAAGAGACAGACTGAAGTTCACTGTAAGTTTAAAACATTTTCAACTAAGAAGAACAACTTTAAAGTCTTTGTCTTCCCATTTGCCCATAATTGCCAAAAGACAAGAAGAAGAAAGATACAGAGAGATTAAGAGAAAGTTGTGAACTTTATATTTATATATTTTTTATTATTTTGATGACGTTTATTCTTATGAGATTCTGTTCTTTCTGATCTTTATTTCATAGAATTTGATTCTTATTCAGCTTTCATTTCAGAGAAAAAGTGTTTATTTGCAAATCTATTTGGAGCTCTTCGCTTATGGGTTTTTCTTCTATTGGGGTAAGTTTTTCTGATTCTAATTATGGGTTCCTCCCACTGAATTACAGCATAAACAAAACAAAAATAACCTTTAGTGGATTTGAGGTGTTATAGGGATGGAGTAGAGCGAAGAAGAAGAAGAAGAGCGAAGAAGGTGTTTTTTTTTTTGAAAGTATGGACGGGCGTCCATTAGGAATAGACGCCCGTCCAAACGTAAGGGACGGTCGTCCCCAATTTTTTTTTTTTTCATATTTTGGTTAAGGATGGACGTCCCTTATTTGCGGATGCCCGTCCAAAATTAAGGGATAGCCGTCCATAACGGATGAACGGCCGTCCCTAATTTTTATAAAAAAAATTTATTTTATTTTACTTATGGAATATGGACCCCCGTCCATATAATATGGACGGAT